GAGAGAGAGAGAGAGAGAGAAGGAGAGAAGGTGCCCGGTGTATTATAGGGGGGTCCTCCGGCAGACTAGGCCTAAGTCAGCCTAACTAGGGGCTGGTACAGGGCAAGCCTGAGCCAGCCCTAACTATAAGCTTTATCAAAGAGGAAAGTCTTAAGTCCATCTGTCTGTCTGACTGCTGCTGTTGGTCTTCACAGGTACGGACTGTCATACATCCCCTTCGCCAGGTAACACTCTCATACTCTTAACTTTACCGTTATATGTTTCATATATGTTATATATTTCATACTGTTTACCAATATTTAATCATATATGTTTATCACATATTTAATTTAATGTTTATATATGTTAAATTTGATCACATATTTAATTTCATATTTATATATGTTAAATTTGATCACATATTTAATTTAATATTTATATATGTTAATTTTGATCACATATTTAATTTAATATTTATATATGTTATATTTGATCGCATATTTAATTTAATATTTATATATGTTAAATTTGATCACATATTTGATTTAATATTTATATGTTATATTTGATCACATATTTAATTTAATATTTATATATGTTAAATTTGATCACATATTTGATTTAATATTTATATATGTTATATTTGATCACATATTTAATTTAATATTTATATATGTTAAATTTGATCACATATTTAATTTAATATTTATATATGTTAAATTTAATCACATATTTAATTTAATATTTATATATGTTATATTTGATCGCATATTTAATTTAATATTTATATATGTTAAATTTGATCACATATTTGATTTAATATTTATATGTTATATTTGATCACATATTTAATTTAATATTTATATATGTTATTTTTGATCACATATTTGATTTAATATTTATATATGTTAGATTTGATCACATATTTAATGTAATATTTATATATGTTAAATTTGATCACATATTTAATTTAATATTTATATATGTTAAATTTAATCACATATTTAATTTAATATTTATATATGTTATATTTGATCACATATTTAATTTAATATTCATATATGTTATATTTGATCACATATTTAATTTAATATTAAAGGAGCAATAAGCGAAATTCATCATTTCTGGATTGAAGGAATTAAAAAATTGGAGTTGTAATTTCATCTGGAGTATAGCATGACCTCACACACCCTCTGTCTGTGTTGATCTCCAGCCCATTGTTTACAAGCCGGTCCGGCTGCGCGTTCATGTACGTTCATGTGAATCCCCGCAGGGAAGCACAGCCGGTTAGCCTCCGCTAGCTTCCCAACTAGCCCCGGCTCCCTGTTTGGATCCAACCGGAACACCGAGCCCTGGTTTGTTATTCAGGTTAAAATGGGAAGAAGCAGCGGGTTTATCAGGCAGCTGAGTGAAGTGGAGGCTGTGGAGGAAACACCGGGATGGGTTAATGTCTGGAGCTTGAGTTATTAGCGGCTCGGTCCCAGCAATGGGTCAGGCGTTACGGTTGTGTTAAGTGAGTAAGTTAGCCCGGCAGCCCAGCTAATATTTTCAATTAGCATTGTAAAATGTAGCCTCCCCACGAGGCTACATTTTTGTAATATATTTGCTGAGATGGCTCAGTGACTAGAAGAGCTGATAGAAGCGCTCCATAGCTGTAAGTTACTCCAGTAGCCGGTGGCAGCCGACTCGGCTAGTGCTAACACCGGGAGCTAACGCTAACATTCCTCCTCTTCTCCGTGAGTGAGAGCGATGTTGTAGCCTAGCAGGCAGCCCGCTAGCCAGGCGGGCAGCCTGGTGGGCTTTAGCCGACTCGGATCCCGGCTAGTGCTAACACCGGGAGCTAACGCTAACATTCCTACTCTTCTCCGTGAGTGAGAGCGATGTTTTAGCCTAGCAGGCAGCCCGCGAGCCTGGCGGACAGCCTGGCGGGCTGCTCAAGCTCCGGACATTAACCCATCCCGGTGTTAACTCCACAGCCTCCACTTCACCCAGCTTCACTCAGCTGCCCGATAAACCCGCTGCTTCTTCCCACTTTAACCTGAAGCGATGTTTTAGCCTAGCGGGCAGCCCGCGAGCCAGCTGCCCGCTAGGCTAAAACATCGCTCTCACTCACGGAGAAGAGGAGGAACATTAGCGTTAGCTCCCGGTGTTAGCACTAGCTGAGTCGGCTGCCACCGGCTACTGGAGTAACTTACAGCTATGGAGCGCTTCTACCAGCTCCTCTAGTCACTGAGCCTCGCCGCCATCTCAGCAAATATATTACATTTATTACAGGTACCATCATCATTGAAGTAGGCAGGGGAATAGCTAAACACAGCAGAGACCGAGACATCGCTGACTGCTAGACGAGGCGAGTGGGGGGTGGAGAGCAGAGGTAGAGGGAGGAGTGGCTCATGACACACTTTGTTCTGGTCTACAGGCAGTGCACAACATCAAACCTAGCGGTGAAACGATTTCGCTTTTTGCTCTTTTAATAAATTAAAATAAAATTAATTTAATGTTTATACATGTTTTATTTTACACATATTTAATATTATAATTATTTTATCATTTGTAATGTAATATTTACATGTTATGCAACATGTAATTTGTTATGTATATTACATTTGATTTTTTTTTCTCTCTCTCTTTCAGAGACGGAATCATCAAATTATGTTCGATGTGTCTCTGAAGTCCCACCCTCTGTCTGTCTGACCAGTCAGGATGCTGCGAGGGGTGTATCAGTCGGCAGCTGATCGAAGGCCTTTAAACATTTCAACCTCCAAAATCTACAAACTCAGGTGTTGGTTTCCATGGAGACAGGTTACCTTGTGTTAACCACTGTTAGCTGTTAGCATGTTAGCCTGTTAATTGTTAGCAAGTTAATTTTTAATTGTTATCTTTTAACTGTTAGCTGTTAGCATGGTAACTGTTATCTTTTAACTGTAACTTTCAATTGTCACCCGTTAGCGTTTTAACTATAACTTTCAATTGTTACCCGTTAGCAATTTAACTGTACATTTTAGCTGTTAGCATGGTAACTGTTAGCTTATGGCATGGTAACTGTTATCCCTTATCTGTAACTTTCAATTGTTACCTGTTACAGCTAACTGTACATATTAGCTGTTAGCATGGTAACTGTTAACATTTGCCTGTTCGCAGGTAGCATGTTAGCTGTTAGCATGTTAACTTTTAACTGTTGGCTGTTAACTATTAATCATTAGCTGTTAGCATGTTCACTGTCAACTCACGCATTTTAATTGTTAGCATGTTAAATGTTACCTTTTACTGTTAGTTGTTCGCTGTTAACTGTTAGCATGTTAATTGTTTATTGTTAGCATTGTAACTGTTGCCATGATAACTGTTAGCTGTTAGCTGTAAGCTTTCAGCATGGTAGCTGTTAACTCTTACCTGTTAGCTTTTAGTATGTTAACTGGAAGCTTTTAGCATGTTAGCTGTTAGCCTGTTAACTGGTAGCTGTTAGCATGCTAGCTGTGCGCCTGTTAACTGATACAATAAGCTGTTAGCATGGTAACTGTTAACTCTTTCCTGTTAGCTTTTAGTATGTTAACTGGTAGCTTTTAGCATGTTAGCTGTTAGCCTGTTAACTGGTAGCTGTTAGCATGCTAGCTGTGAGCCTATTAACTGATACAATAAGCTGTTAGCATGGTAACTGTTAACTTTTACCTGTTGGATGTTAAAATGTTAATTGTTAGCATGTTCACTGTTATTAACTGTTAGCATGGTAACTGTTAACTGTTAGCATGTTAGCTGTTAACATGGTCAATGTTAGCAATAATCAATCAATCAATCAATTTTATTTATAAAGCCCAATATCACAAATCACAATTTGCCTCACAGGGCTTTACAGCATACGACATCCCTCTGTCCTTATGACCCTCACAGCTGATCAGGACGGTAATGACAGTAGCTTAAAACAACATCATTTAAATTAAAATAATAATATTATAATAATAATTACAGCTTTTGTGGTACAATATGTTGTAGGTATATATTAATTCATGATAGTATATGCATGTGACAATAATCATATAGCAAGGTAAGTGTTAACTATTAGCATGTTAACTGTTAACATTTACCTGTTAGCTTTAAGCATGTTACCTGTTAGCATGTTGACCTAACTTTTAGAATGTTTACTGTTAGCATATTAACAGTTAACTGTTACCTGTTAACTATTAGCTCTTAGCATGCTATCTGTTATCTTTTAACTTTTAGCTGTTAGCATGTTAACTGCTACCTGTAAGCATGTTAACATGTAACCGTTAACCGTTACCTGTTCACATGCTAACAGCCAGATGATAACAGTCAACCGTTAGCACAGTAACTGTTAACTTTATTTGTTGCTTGTTAACTCTTAGCTGTCAGCATGTTAGCTGTTAGCATCTTAGCTGTCAGATGTGATATTAATATGTTTGTATATTATAAATCGTCGTCACTGTTTGTGTTTTCAGAGACGAGACTAAAAGATGAAGAACAAAATATCAAACAGATTTTATTTTATTATGTAGATGATTTTAATAACTGTAAAGTTTTAAATTCAACAACAGACAAAACAGAACAGAAAAAAACTTAAATTCTGCAGATTTCAAATTAAAACATTAGATAAATCTGAATCTGAATCTGATGTGATGGCAGGGAGAGTGATGACTTCTGTTTGCTGCTCACAGAGAAAACTTTATCGTAACGTTAAAGTGACAAACAGAAAAAAGCACAAAGTATTTTACGTCGACAGTAATTATTTTTTATTTACACAGAAACTTTCAAAGTGCAGACACAAACACGGACAGGATGTCAGGCTTTTATTTTGTCTTCAACAGGAAGTAAAACACACCAAAGTTTATTTTTACGGCACCTTTAAACAACAAGACAAAAATCCCCCTAAAAAAACAGGATGTATATAACAACAAAAACAGAAGATAAAAAACGGAGAGTCAGAGTTACAGATTTGATTTCAGAAAATACTAACAGAAAATAATTTTTCTGTCAGTTTGTTTCAGATTTGTGGAAAATGAAAACCTGAATGTTGATTTTAATGTTTCATGTTTAATCTGAGGTTTAAGAATTCCTACGCATCTTGAATGTCTCAGAGAGGAGGACTGTAGTTTCAGTTTCCTTCAGGTTGTCTTCTCGTTTTATGGTCAGAATCATTTCAGCACAAACATTTCACTCATGTCTTTATCAGTTTGTCTGTCACAGGGTTGGAAAATTTCTGGGATGTTTTCAGTAAATTTTGTATAAAATTTATTAGGGAAGTAAAGCTCGGGAGTTTGTTACATATTTTCTTTATTTTTTCATAGTTTAAAAAAATGTACCTGTGAAATGTAAACTCATTTTGGTGGAAAATACACATTAGAAAGCAGAACTAAGTCTGATGGTACATCAGCTTAAAAGTATGTATGGTTGTGAAGGGTAAGTAAACTTCCCAAAAATGTCTGGTAAAATTTTAGTAAATGCCCGCTAAGTTTTTGTAAATGTCAGCTAAATTTCCAGTAAATGTCCATGTAGTTTCCAGTAAATATCTGGTCAATTTTCAGTAAATGTCCAGTAATTTCTCAGTAAATCAGATGTCCAGTGTAGTTCCATATATTTTCATGAAAAATGGTAAATCTCCAGTGCTTTCAGTAGATGTCCCCCAGATTTTCTCTAAATGCCCATGTAATTTCCTGTCCATAGGTTTTAAATAAGTGTCCAGTATATTTCCATATATTTCCATTAAAAAATATCAGGTATACTGTATTTCCAGTAAATATCTGGTAAATTTCAAGTCAACGTCCACTAAATTTCCAGTAAATATTGAGTAAATGTCCAGTATGTTTTCAGTGTGTGTCCAGTATATTTCCATATATTTCCAAAACATGTCCAGTAACATTGTGGTAAATTATCAGGAAATGTCACGTACATTTTCACTGAATTTCTTGTACATTTCCAGTAAATTTCCAGTAAATTTCCAGTAAATTTCCGGGAAATTTGAAGTCTATATCAGCTAAATGTCAAGTACATTTTGTGTTTGGCGAGGACATTGTTGGTAAATGTCTGCTAAATATTCCAGGGAAGTTGAGCTCAGGAATGTTGTTTAAGAAATATATAGTTCTTAAAATTTTACCATAAAAATGTACCTGTTATTAACCAGGAGGAGGTGGGGGGGGGGGGGGGGTGTTGTCGTTGTTGTTGTTGTTTATTACATGTTCAATGATGATGATGGTGATGGTGATGGTGATGATGGTGATGGTGATGATGATGATGGTGACCTTCTTATTTACATGTTTCCACCCTGAATATTCCAGACACTGTCAGCCGTAGTTGCTACTCACAACAGACTTTTAAAAATTCCTACACCACCTGAACGCCTCAGACTGGGAGAGTGTGGTTAAACCAGTAAGATCCAGTTCAGCTGCTGGTTTCATGGTTTGTGTTTGTTTGTAAAACGATTTTATTATTTTAATAAAAATAGCAGAAACAATCTGTTTGACGTCTTTAAATATAAAAACTTCCTGCTGAATATGAATTTCACATTTTTAAATACACGGAGATAAACCAGAGTTTAACCCTTGAGGTGTGTGTGTGCATGTGTGTGTGCGTGTGTTTAACATTTAACGTCCTGAACAGATCAGAGATGTGTGTGTGTGTGTGTGTGTGTGTGTGTGTGTGTGCGTGTGTTTAACATTTAACGTCCTGAACAGATCAGAGATGTGTGTGTGTGTGTGTGTGTGTGTGTGTGTGTGTGCGTGTGTTTAACATTTAACGTCCTGAACAGATCAGAGATGTGTGTGTGTGTGTGTTACCTGTTGTTCTGATGTTTACCTGCCACCCTGGTCAACGCTGTCTTTATGCCTGTTAAGTCTGTAAAGCCTGTAATCTCCACCCGCTGATTAAAACACACACACACACACGGGGATGTTGTGTGTCGCTGTGTGTTTCCAGATGTTGACCTATCCTCCATTACATGCTGATCTGAACAGACTCAGGTGTTTGTCAGCTGACATTTAAACCTCCAGGACGAACCTGACCTGTTTTCCTCCACTCCTCTGAATGATCCACTAACCACTGATTGGTTTATAAAAGATGATGTCATCATCTGGTCCACACTAACACTGCTTAACTCTGAGTTTACGACACTTTAAGATCTTCACCTGCGCTGAAACACCTGAACGAGAAGATAAAAACAGTTTTCTAAGAAGTTTTCTAATCAACACAAAGATGATCCACTCTGGAGATTGCTTTTGTTTTTTCAAAGGTTTTGTTTTTGTTTCAGTTCACAGCAATTTCAAAAAGATTCACACTAAGAAACTAAAAGGATGATTTTTATTTTATTTTGTTCATCACTAGTTTTCCTTGTCCACACTAACATGGAAAAAGCATGACGTTGATGTGATGTTTGTTTTCCAATTGATCCACTGAGGAGACTTCGTCCACAGTAACGCTACTGAACTCTGAGTTTACAAGAAAAACCCACTTTCAAATCTTCATCTGCACTTGTCTAAATCTCAGGACCACATTTACAGATGTTACCCGTCTCGTAGACCATGTTTGTAAAAGCTCAGTTTTCTTCATCCTAAAACATGTTTTCCTCATCCACACTAAAATTCAAGGATGTCCATCACAATAAAGATTGAGGCGAGCTTTCTTCATCTAAACCAAACTTTAAGAAGCCCTTCAACCACCTAAAGGAACCTTTGTACCTCCTGAAGGACTTCTTCAACCACCTAAAGGAACCTTTGTACCTCCTGAAGGACTTCTTCAACCACCTAAAGGAACCTAAGTACCTCCTGGAGGACTTCTTGAACCACCTGAAAGAACCTAAGTAACTCCTGAAGGACTTCTTGAACTACCTAAAGGAACCTTTGTACCTCCTAAAGGACTTCTTGAACCACCTAAAGGAACCTAAGTACCTCCTGAAGGACTTCTTGAACCACCTAAAGGAACCTAAGTACCTCCTGAAGGACTTGTTGAACCACCTGAAGGAACCTTTGTACCTCCTAAAGGACTTCTTGAACCACCTAAAGGAACCTAAGTACCTCCTGGAGGACTTCTTGAACCACCCAAAGGAACCTAAGTACCTCCTGAAGGACTTCTTGAACCACCCAAAGGAACCTAAGTACCTCCCAAAGGGCTTCTTGAACCACCTTAAGGAACCTTTGTAGCTCCTGAAGGGCTTCTTGAACCATCTAAAGGAACCTAAGTACCTCCTGAAGGACTTCTTGAACCACCTAAAGGAACCTTAGTACCTTCTGAAAGACTTCTTGAACTACCCAAAGGAACCTTTGTACCTCCCAAAGGACATCTTAAACCACCCAAAGGAACCTTTGTACTTCCCGAAGGACTTCTTGAACCACCTAAAGGAACCTAAGTAGCTCCTGAAGGACTTCTTCAACCACCTAAAGGAACCTAAGTAGCTCCTGAAGGACTTCTTGAACCACCTAAAGGAACATAAGTACCTCCTGAAGGACTTCTTGAACCACCCAAAGGAACCTAAGTACCTCCTAAAGGGCTTCTTGAACCACCTAAAGGAACCTTTGTACCTCAGGAAGGACTTCTTGAACCACCTAAAGGAACCTTTGTACCTCCTGAAGGACTTCTTGAACCACCCAAAGGAACCTTACCTTCTGAAGGACTTCTTGAACCACCTAAAAGAACCTTAGTATCTCCTAAAGGACTTCTTGAACCACCTAAAGGAATCTTAGTACCTCCCAAAGGACTTCTCGAACCACGTAAAGGAACCTTTGTACCTCCTGAAGGATTTCTTCAACCACCTAAAGGAACCTTTGTACCTGCTGAAGGACTTCTTCAACCACATAAAGGAGCCTAAGTGCCTCCTAGAGGACTTCTTCAACCACCCAAAGGAACCTAAGTACCTCCTGAAGGACTTCTTGAACCACCTAAAGGAACCTACGTACCTTCTGAAGGACTTCTTGAACCACATAAAGGAACCTTTGTACCTCCTGAAGGACTTCTTGAACTACCTAAAGGAACCTAAGTACCTCCTGAAGGACCTCTTGAACCACCTAAAGGAACCTAAGTACCTCCTGAAGGACTTCTTGAACTACCTAAAGGAACCTAAGTACCTCCTAAAGGACCTCTTGAACCACCTAAAGAAACCTAAGTACCTCCTGAAGGACTTCTTGAACTACCTAAAGGAACCTAAGTACCTCCTAAAGGACCTCTTGAACCACCTAAAGGAACCTTTGTACCTTCTGAAGGACTTCTTGAACAACCTAAAGGACCTCTTGAACCACCTAAAGGAACCTTTGTACCACCTAAAGGACTTCTTGAACTACCTAAAGGAACCTACGTACCTCCTGAAGGACCTCTTGAACCACCTAAAGGAACCTTAGTACCTCCCGAAGGACTTCTTGAACTACCTAAAGGAACCTTTGTACCTCCTCAATGACTTCTTGAACCACCCAAAGGAACCTTACCTTCTGAAGGACTTCTTGAACCACCTAAAGGAACCTTAGTACCTCCTAAAGGACTTCTTGAACCACCTAAAGGAACCTAAGTACCTCCTCAAGGACTTCTTGAACCACCCAAAGGAACCTTACCTTCTGAAGGACTTCTTGAACCACCCAAAGGAACCTTACCTTCTGAAGGACTTCTTGAACCACCTAAAAGAACCTTAGTATCTCCTAAAGGACTTCTTGAACCACCTAAAGGAATCTTAGTACCTCCCAAAGGACTTCTCGAACCACGTAAAGGAACCTTTGTACCTCCTGAAGGACTTCTTCAACCACCTAAAGGAACCTTTGTACCTGCTGAAGGACTTCTTCAACCACATAAAGGAGCCTAAGTGCCTCTTAGAGGACTTCTTCAACCACCCAAAGGAACCTAAGTACCTCCTGAAGGACTTCTTGAACCACCTAAAGGAACCTAAGTACCTCCTGAAGGACTTCTTGAACCACATAAAGGAACCTTTGTACCTCCTGAAGGACTTCTTGAACTACCTAAAGGAACCTACGTACCTCCTGAAGGACCTCTTGAACCACCTAAAGGAACCTAAGTACCTCCTGAAGGACTTCTTGAACTACCTAAAGGAACCTTAGTACCTCCTAAAGGACCTCTTGAACCACCTAAAGGAACCTAAGTACCTCCTGAAGGACTTCTTGAACCACCTAAAGGAACCTTAGTACCTCCTAAAGGACCTCTTGAACAACCTAAAGGAACCTAAGTACCTCCTGAAGGACTTCTTGAACTACCTAAAGGAACCTTAGTACCTCCTAAAGGACCTCTTGAACAACCTAAAGGAACCTTTGTACCTTCTGAAGGACTTCTTGAACAACCTAAAGGACCTCTTGAGCCACCTAAAGGAACCTTTGTACCACCTAAAGGACTTCTTGAACTACCTAAAGGAACCTACATACCTCCTGAAGGACCTCTTGAACCACCTAAAGGAACCTTAGTACCTCCTGAAGGACTTCTTGAACTACCTAAAGGAACCTTTGTACCTCCTGAAAGACTTCTTCAACCACCTAAAGGAACCTAAGTACCTCCTGAAGGACTTCTTCAACCAGCCAAGGGAACCTTAGTACCTCCTAAAGGACTTCTTGAACAACCTAAAGGACCTCTTGAACCACCTAAAGGAACCTTTGTACCACCTAAAGGACTTCTTGAACTACCTAAAGGAACCTACGTACCTCTTAAAGGACCTCTTGAACCACCTAAACGAACCTTTGTGCCTCCTAAAGGACTTCTTCAACCACCTAAAGAAAACTTTGTGCCTCCTAAAGGGCTCCTTGAACCACCTAAAGAAATCTTTGTACCTCCTAGAGGTACTCAGGTTCCAGGACCAAACAGGAAATGGTTTTACATGTGGTGTCCACAGACAGTTGCTCTCTCCTTATCCTTTCTGACTGATTCTTCTCTAGTTTGGTCTTCTGCTAGTGTCCTTGTCGCTACTGGTAGCATGAGGCAGTACCTGCAGCCCAGTCAGGTTGATACCAGATACCAGGAGACCGGCCGTTACACCAGGAGAGCTGGACAGGGCCGAAGAAGGGCATCAACCCAGCAGCAGGACCGCTCCTTTGTGTGAGGAGGAACAGGAGGAGCACTGCCAGAGCCCTTCAGAATGACCTCCAGCAGGCTACTGGTGTGCATGTTTCTGACCACACTGTTAGACAAACTAGATCAGCAACTGGCTGTGTATCATGCCGATGTTGAAGGACGCCTTTTTTCGTCGGCTTCCAACGCCACAAGTCACCACCCAAGCACCGGATTCTGACGACTTTGGAGTGAGACCGTGCGTCCCAGAACGTCAACAACCAACACACCTTGGGCGTCATACATGGAAGTGGAAAGTCCATGACCTGTCATTTAATAGGTCCCCTTGCTGTTTTTAGCAGTGTATGAGATACACACACACACACAGAGATCTTAAATCCTTTGATGTCAATTGTGGATCTGTAATAAGTCAAATTTCTGTTTGTTGTCTGTGATGTAATGATTTAACTCTTTGTATATGTGTGTGTGTGTGTGTGTGTGCTGTCAGGTGTGTGTGTGTGTGTGTGTGTGTGTGTGTGTGTGTGTGTGTGTGTGAGATAATTGCAGCCCGTCAGAGGCTGAGTGAAATCTGAGAGTCGGAGCATCAGTCTGACGGACGGACGGACAGAGGGTCAGTCAGACTGATGTGTCTGATTGTTTCAGTCGGACGCTGAGTGCCTTCACATCATCATCATCGTCATCATCATTATCATTTCTTCTTCTTTAATTCTCAGTTTGGATTATTCCTGCTCCTCTCAGAGGCTCCTCTGGATCAGGTCAGTTTGAGTTTATTATTTAATTCATGATAAAATATGAAAACATATAAATGTGATGATTCTCTTTCTGTTTTTATTAAATGTGTTTATTTCCTCTTTTCATCCTGTGAACTCGTCACAGAAATGAAGTCAACACTTCCTCCAGCTCAGATCATAATTAACTCATTATTTCATTAAAACACACACACATTTAACACTGCGTGTCATTTACTAACACACACACTCTTATATATTACAGATTATATATCTGACAAGTTTAATTCAAGAATATTCCAAGAATATTAAAATGAAAAATGTTTTAAATGATAGTAAAGTTTAAACACAGTGCCAACACCTACGTCCCAAATGATATCATTTATTTATTTTTACGTTTTATAATAAACTTTAAATTAACCAAAATTTGAAAACCAAATTTTTATCTATTTGATTTTATGTATTTATTTATTTTTAGTTGTGTAATGTGTTGATGGCAGAACGAGTGAGAACATGTGCATGTGTCAGGAGACCTTTTATAAAAGAAGACAGAGACGTACAAAAAATAAATAAATAAATATGATAATAATAAAGATAAAAATAAATAAATGAATATGATAATAATAATAAAGATAAAAATAAATAAATAAAATAATAATAAAGATAAAAATAGATTAATTAATAATAATGGTAAAGATCAAATAGATTAATTATTTAATTAATAATTTTAAATAAATGGTGCATAAAAACAGGGTTTATATTTCAGAATATAAATTAATAAAATTAATGATACAGATAAAACTGTTGCTTGTTTGTATTTTAATGAGTCATTAAACCTGTTCAAACATAAAATACAGAAAATGGAATAAATATCACAACATGTGTGTAAAATAAATCAAATAAAAAAATGATAAAATAAAATTAATAGAAATAAGATTAAATAATAAATTCTGCTAAGAATAAAATGAGTGTTGAATCATTGAGGTTAAAAACAGGACATCTGAGCTGTAAACATGAAATAATAATATAATATAAACTAGAGGAAGCTGCTGCGTCACCTCTTCATATAGACGTTCATAAAACACCATCAGTTAAATGTCTTTAAACACATCCATCATATAAAGTATAAAGTTATTGTCCTCTGAGACAAAATGTGACCCGTCAGACCAACCGACGGAGACTTCACATTTACAGACTTTATATTTGTTAAATCAGAGATTTAAATTCTCTTTAAATCACAAAGTTTCTAAAACTCCACCTCAGAGATGTTGAAAGAATGACGCAGAATATTAAAGTCTGAGAAACAGCCGACACTGCACACGTTCATCTGAATCCTGAACTGATTCAGTCAGAAAAACACTCCAAGTTTAAACAGAAACAAAATGCATATCATCAGGACGCAGCGATGGAAGACAAAGACAAATCTTCAAGGACGATTCACTTTTCCTTTTTGTCCTCTGACAGTCTGATGATGCGTTCAGGTGCTCCTTCAAACTCATGTTTCACATCACTGTGACAAAATCAGTCAACACATCAACACGGAGAGGAATCACTCCGACAAATAAATAAATAACTAAAAGCCACTGGGAAAACATCCACTCAGTGTAAAGTCAGATGACAGTCTGATGTGGCTCCACGCTGACGCTCAGCAGTTTCAATTTTCATGTAAAAAAAAATTGAAAATCAATAAACTGGAAAACTGAATTCAGTTTTCTAAAACTACTTTTTATTTTTCAGATCAACTTACATAATTGAGATTTTAAAGCTGTGTTTCTATTTTTTATTTGTGGACTGTTGGAGCAGCTGATAAAAGATTTGAAAACCTCTTTTTCCTTGTCCACACAAAAACATTCTGCGAGTGTTTTAAGATTCATCCACTTTAGTTTTTTAAAATCTTCCTCTTTCTTCATCCACACGTGTGCCGTAGGTGTTGAAAAATTAATTCATTTCAGTTTTTTACAAATCTCTCACTATTTTTTCTCATCCACACTTTATAATGTGTCAGAAGCATTGAAATCTTTTTTATTCTTCGTCCACGCTAAAAGGTGCTGCGAGTATTCATCCAGTTTAGTTTTTGAAATCTTTTCCTCTTTGTCCACACTTAAACATGTCGCAAGTGTTCGAGGTTCATTCACGTTAGTTTTTGAAATCAGTTAAAATGTGCCACAGTGTTGACATTTATTTTCTTCTTCGTCCACACTTTTTACCTCTTCTACGGTAAAACGCGCCACTATTCATCCACTTAAGTTTGTGAAATCATTTTCTTTCTTCAGCCAGCCACAAGTCTCCTAAAATTCATTCACTTTCATTTTTGAAACCATTTTTCCTCAGCCACACTAACATGCGCTGCATATGTTTAAAGATTCCTCCACTTTAGTTTTTGAAATCTTCCTTTTTTCTTCATCCACAGTGAAAATGTGCTGGAAATGTTGAAATCTTTCTCTTCTTCGTACAAACTGAAATGTTCTGCATGTTTGATTCATTTTATTTTTTGAAATCATCCTTTTTTCCTGCTTGTGGAAAGTTGGATAGAAAAACATAAAAATAGTTCAGTTTTTGAAATCTCTGTCTTCTTTGTCACCATGAAAATATGCCACGACTGTTGAAAAATTCATCCACTTTAGTTTTTGAAACCTTTTTTTCCTGGTCCACACTAAAAAGTCATGCAAGTGTTTTAACATTCATCCACTTTACTTTTTTACCTTTACTCTTGTCCACACTAAAATGTGCCGCAAGTGTTCGAGAATTCTCCCTTTTTACCTCGTCTACAGTAAAAGCTGCCACGAGTGTTTTAAGGTTAATCCACTGTAGTTTTTGAAACTTTCATTTTTACCTTGTCCACTCTTAAAATGTGCCACAAGTGTTCTTTCTCTTCTCCGTCCACACTACAATGTGCAGTGAATGTTGAAAAATTAATCCATTTTAGTTTTTGAAATCATCTTTTTGTGAAATGTTGGATAGAAAACCATTAAAATATACAGATGTGACAATAGGCGACACGTACGACCCCGACCTACCAATCAGAGGTAAGTTGGCTGTAGAGCATCAAGCCAGTCCTCTGACGCAGCCCGACACACAAACACAAATAAAAACTCAAATTTTCAGTTATTCAGTTTTACGTTTTCTATCCAACATTCCAGAGGTGAAAAATTTTAACTTCCAGTACTCTAATTTTCAATTAGTTCAAATTAAACTAATGAGCGTCACACGCAACGACCTGCCACCTTCCAAACCACCACCTGATGATGACGATGGTTAAAACTTAAGTTATGTCCTCATAGAAGTTTAAGAGTTTTAAGAGTATTTTAAAAAACACTGACAACTCCAAGACGAAGTGATGTTTCTCCAAAGTTAAAAACACAGCTGTTGAATTCTTCGATCTTCAGCCTCCAAGCGTGTCAACACCTCTGATCTTTGTGTTTCCAGATGAAGGTGGAGGGCTTGCAGGAGTACGGGGAGTCCGTGTCTTCAGCAGACCGGACCACCACTGACGCTGCCACCGCTGCTGCAGGTGCAGTCCGTATGGGCGGGGCTCTGTGCAGCCCCGGCTCGGCTGAACGCTGCATGTCACGGCTGCTGAGCGCGGTGGAGAGCGAGCTGCAGGCCGGCCGGGAGAAGGGTGATCCCACGGAGCGCGAGCTGAGGGTGGTGCTGGAGGATGCCGAGCTGTGGAGGAAGTTTCAGCACATCACCAACGAGATGATCGTCACCAAGAATGGACGGTAACCATGATGACTGTCTGAGGTTGTTTGTGTCTGTTGTGTGATTGTTGTTTTCACATTGAGACGAGTCATCCATCCTCCCTCATGAAACTTCAAAACAACCCGTCTGAGGGTTTCCTGCTCCGTCACCTTGAGGTTACACTTTGGTTCCATGGAGGCAACTAAATCTGCTTCCTTAAAACTGCTTGTTGAGGGTACACCTGTGAATTGTCTTCATCTAAGGGTCATTCACTCACCTGAAGGTCATCGTCCACCTGAAGGTTATTCGTCCACCTGAAGGTTATTCATCCACGTGAAAGTCATTTGTCCACCTGAAGGTTATTCCTCCAACTGAGGGTCATTTGTCCACCTGAGAGCTGCTCCTCCACATGAATCGTTTTTCCACCTGTGGGTTGTTCGTCCACCTGAATATTGTTTGTCCACATGAAGGATGTGCGTCCACCTGAAGGTTATTCGTCCACCTGAAGGTAGTTCGTTCACCTGAAGGTTATTCATCCACCTGTGGGTCATTTGTCCACCTGAAGGTCTTTTGTCCACCTTAACATTGTTCGTCCACACAAATGTTGTGCGTCCACTTGAAGGTTATTCATTCACCTGAAGGTTCTTCGTCCACCTGAGAGTTATTCATCCACCTTAAGTGTGTTCGTCTACCTGGATGTTGTTCATCAACCTGAAGGTCGTTCGTCCGCTTGAACATTGTTTGTCCACCCCAAGGTTGTGCGTCCACCTGACAGTTGTTCATCCACCTAAGGGTCATTCGTCCACCTGATGGTTGTTCGTCCACCTGAAGGTTATTCGTCCACCTGAGGGTCATATGTCCACCTGAGGGATGTTCATTCACCTGAAGGTAGTTCGTTCACCTGAAGGTTATTCATCCACCTGTGAGTCATTTGTCCACCTGAAGGTCGTTTGTCCACCTTAACATTGCTCGTCCACACAGATGTTGTGCGTCCACTTGAAGGTTATTCATTCACCTGAAGGTTCTTCGTTCACCTGAGAGTTATTCATCCACCTTAAGTGTGTTCATCTACCTGGATGTTGTTCATCGACCTGAAGGTCGTTCGTCCGCCTGAACATTGTTTGTCCACCCCAAGGTTGTGCGTCCACCTGACAGTTGTTCATCCACCTAAGGGTCATTCATCCACCTGAAGGTCATTCATCTACCTGAAAGTCGTTTTGTCTGCCTGAAGGTCATTCGTCCACCTGAAGGTTGTTAATCTACCTGAGGGTCTTTGGTCCCCCTGAGGGTTGTTTGTCCACCTGAAGGTTGTTCCTCTACCTGAAGGGTGTTTGTCCACCTTAAGGTTGTCCATCTACCAGAATGTCGTTGGTCCACCTGAAGGTCGTTCTTCCACCTTTAGGTAGTTCGTCCACCTGAAGGTCGATTGTTCACCTGAGGCTCATCTGTCCACATGAAGGTCATTTATCCACTTGTTGGTCACCAGTTCACCTGTGGGTTGCTGGTCCACCTGTGGGTTATGTTTTTCCACCTGCTCAGGTTGATGTTTCACTGAGCTATGGTGAAACACTGTGATGTCACCAGATTTCATTCATCAGTGAGCCCAGTATCACAAATAACAATTTGCCTCACAGGGCTTTACAGCATACGACATCTCTCTGTTCTTTGGACCCTCATAGCTGACCAGGATAACCCCCCCCCCCCAATAAACCCCTTTAAAGGGTGTTCATTCAGCTTTTCATTCAGAGGTGACGCCTCTTCAGGAATCTGAGAGTGTGTCCACACTAAGCTGGCTAAATAAAATGGTCAGTGCTTTTACAAAACATCTCCAGAGTTGAAAACTTCAGCGGGATCTTTCAGGGTCAACAGAGAACGACTGAGTTTCCTGAAACCCATCTGGGGCACAATCCACTTTCTCTGTTCTCGTTGAATGTGAAAATAAAAGCTAATAATAATAATAATAATAGTAATAATAACAATAATAATAATAAATTCTAATTATTGTGCACTTTACATTCCAAGGAATCTCAAAGTGCTCAAAGATGGTTGTTGGCTGCAATGCAGATTGTCAACTAAAAAAGGAAAAGGGATTTAAATGTTTTTAACTGTGGAAAAACTAAAATCGTTTTCAGGTTAAAACTGGGCTTCAAAATGCGACAACGGCTCTGATAAACTGTCACCTGGATCTGACAGAGACTCAAATAAAATATTCACAACATCGTGAGGGAATCAGAAAACTCAACAATCAGATCAGTAAATGGTTTATTTTATAAAACCCCTGAAGATTCGACAAGTTAGTTGGTATTATTTTAGAAACACTTTCTGTAAACCTGTTCCTAACACACAGTGGTTCCACATGAATGTTTGTTCTCTGAATATTTTCCAGATGAAACAGAACCACCAGGAGAACGTTGTCGCCTCTCGGTGTGTCTGTGTTTGAAGCTGACTCCGGATCAGTGATCCTATTAATCGGGGTTATTCATTAGTCTCGATAGCGACCGTTAACGTTGCCTGTGTGTGTGTTTTTTTGTGTAGCCGAGGCGTGTTGACCGGTCGTGCCCCACGCTGGGAAAACACTCCATTCACACCTGCAGAACGCCACTTGAGCGGCTGTTAGTGATGGAGAGCAGGCTGTTAGTAGGTGGTCACAGATGAACATTCACACGCAGCCAGAGTTTATTTATTAAATCACTTCAATCAAGCACCCGTACTTTATGTGAGGACTTCCTTTTTATTCTGCTCTGTACTTTTACTGTGCTACATTCATCTGACAGCCTCAGTTACCTCACAAGGTTTTACACACAGAACAAACAACAACAAAAACAAACAAAGAAACTCCTTTCGTCAGTTTTATGATAAGAACATTTCATGATTCAGCTGCACAAACTCTCCCTTTGAATAATGTTAATAACTGTAATGTGTTTGTTATACTATTTATAACTGTAGTGTGAAAAATTTATGTTTGTTATTGTAATGTTATAATAATCGTAATGTGTAAGTGCTTAAGTTAATAATTGTATCGTTTTAGCAATTATGTTAATTATATTGCATAAGTAATTATTTTTTAAAATGCATAATATATAAGTAGTATTTTAATAACTTGTGTATTAGTAATAATGTATTAGTAGTAATAGCAGTAGTAAATTAGTCATTTTTGTAAATGTGTTAGTAATGTATAAGTAATAATGTCCATACTTTTAACATATAATTAATAATAATTCTAACGTATAAGTAATAATGTGAATAATTGTAGTGTATAGGCAGTATTTTTAATAATTGTCATTTGTAAGCAGTGATTTTCATAAGTAATGTTTATTATTGTAATGTATAAGTAATAATAATCTTAATAATGTTAAAATAAGTAATTTTTATTATTGTAATGTATAAGTCATAATAATCTTAATAATGTTAAAAAATCATAATGTATTAGGTATTGAGTTAATAATTGTCTTGTTTAAGTAATAATAATTGTGATGTATCAGTCATAATGTTAATAGAAATAGAAAGCCTTAATTTTCATTGCATATTAACAAGGATGCTACCTATACAACGGAATTGCGGGGGCTACTCTTAAGGTGCAGACGAGAAATACAGGTAATAATTGTGTTTGCATAGCAAACAACATTTATGCAACAGGATTGTTGCATAACACGATAATTGTGATATATAGATAAAAATAGTAGTCGTAAAGTAGTTATTTTTATAATAGTAATGTATACGTGATAACATTCATCATTTTGATGTATAAATAATAATAATTGAAATGTATTAGTAATAATGTAACCATGATGTATTAGTAATAATGTTAATAATCGCACCATACTAGTAGAAACAGTAGTTATTTTAATTGTAGCAATGTAACATTAATGTTCATAATTTTAAAGGATGATTGATAATAATTATAAAGTATCAGTGATAATGTTGATAATTATAATGTATCAGTGATAATGTTTGTAATTCTAATGTATCAGTAATAATGTTAATAATTCTAATGTAACAGTGATAATGTTTGTAATTATAATGTATCAGTGATCATGTATATAATTATAATGTATCAGTGATAATGTTGATAATTCTAATGTATCAGTAATAATGTTAATAATTATAATGTATCAGTGATAATGTTAATAATTATAATGTATCAGTGATCATGTATATAATTATAATGTATCAGTGATAATGTTGATAATTATAATGTATCAGTGATCATGTATATAATTATAATGTATCAGTGATAATGTTGATAATTATAATGTATCAGTAATAATGTTTGTAATTCTAATGTATCAGTAATAATGTTTATAATTATAATGTATCAGTGATAATGTTTGTAATTCTAATGTATCAGTGATAATGTTGATAATTATAATGTATCAGTAATAATGTTTGTAATTCTAATGTATCAGTGATAATGTTGATAATTATAATGTGTCAGTAATAATGTTTGTAATTCTAATGTATCAGTGATAATGTTGATAATTATAGTGTGTCAGTAATAATGTTAATAATGCCAATGTAACAGTGATAATGTTTATAATTCTAATGTATCAGTGATAATGTTGCTAATCATAATGTATCAGTGATAATGTTTGTAATTCTAATGTACCAGTAATAATGTTTATAATTCTAATGTATCAATAATAATGTTTGTAATTCTAATGTATCAGTAATAATGTTAATAATTATAATGTATCAGTGATCATGTTTGTAATTCTAATGTATCAGAAATAATGTTGATAATTAGAAAGTATCAGTAATAATGTTAATAATTATAATGTATCAGTGATCATGTATATAATTATAATGTATCAGTGATAATGTCAGTAACTGCTGTATAAGTAGCAAAAGGAGTAGTAGCCATCTTGTAATTTGTAATTTTAATAATAGTCATGTAAATTATTGTAATAATTGTAGCATTTTAGTAATTCTGTCAATAATTGTTATATTTAATAACAATTATGTTGTATTAGTAATCATTTTAATAATTGTCATGTTTTAGTAGCACTTTTGATCATTTTTGTGTTTTTTGTAATAATGTTAATAACTGTGCTGTATTAGTAGTAGTAGTAAAGTAGTAATTTAGAAAGAAATGTAAAATTAATGTTCAAAATTTAAATATATAATTAATAATAATTGTTATGTATTAGAAATAATCTTAGTAGTTGTAACACATTAGTAATAACATTATTAACTTTAATGTATCAGTAATAACGTAATAATTAGTAATAATACTTTTTCTGTTTTAGTAGTAATAGTACCAGTAAAGTAGTAATTTCAGTATCAGTATTGTAAATATAAATGTTCACAGTTTTAATGTATGATTAACAATAATAGTTGATATCATAATTGTATTAGTAATTATGTTAATAACTATGGTGTATATGTTTTCATTTGGAAAACTGTAATGTGTAAGTAGCAATTTTAATAATAGTAATATAGAAGTAATGATAAGTAATGTTTATTATTGAAATGTATAAGTAATAATGATCATAATGTATTAGTAATACATTTAATAATTGTAGTGAATGAGTAGTTATAAAAATAATTGTAGCGTTTAATGACTTTTGTTAATTATTATTGTGTTTTAGTAATAACAATGGTGATGTATTAGTGATCGCTTTAATAACTGTAATGTATAAGTTGCAGTTTTGACAATTAACATGTATTCAAAGTAATATGAGTTATTGTAATGCCATAGTAATAATGTTAATGATAACACATAAGAAATAATGTTTGGAACTGTACTGTCTTAGTAATAATGTTAATGATTGTAATGTATTGATAATAATGTCACAGTATCAATCAATCAATTCAATTTCAATCAATCAATTTTATTTATAAAGCCCAATATCACAAATCACAATTTGCCTCACAGGGCTTTACAGCATACGACATCCCTCTGTCCTTATGACCCTCACAGCGGATCAGGAAAAACTCCCCAAAAAACCCTTTAACGGGGAAAAAAGTAATTAACATTATAACTACGCTGTGTTGATCGACTGTCGGTTGCTTTGTAATGTGAGCGAGAAAACAAGCTAAGGTTAGCCCGCTAGCTGTAACTAGGCTCTGTTGTACAGATCTGCTGTTGGTTGCTTTGTAACATTAGCTGATAAATTAATCTGCAAATGTCAAGCCTGCTAATTTAGCGGCCAAATTAACCCTGGAGTCGGGATGAATTAAATGACGTTAATCACTTAAAACAGTATTTTGCTACGTTAGCTAGCTAGCAATTTGCCTGCATCAGCAAGCATTCTAACGTTTACTAACATTAGCTAGCTAAAACTAGAATATATTTCACATTTACTCGCACTGCAGTACTTCCTGTAAACTGTCAGTACTTCCTGTGAACTCTCAGCACTTCCTGTAGTATCAGTACTTTGTGTAAACTTTCAGTACTTCCTGTAGAATTAGTACTTTTGTAAAGTGTCAGTACTTCCTGTAAACTTTCAGTACTTCCTGTAGTATTACTACTTTTGTAAAGTGTCAGTACTTCCTGTAAACTTTCAGTACTTCCTGTAGTATTAGTAGTTCCTGTAAACATATTGTACCACAATAGCCGTAATTATAATTATAATATTATTACTTTCATTAATGTTGTTGTAAGCTACTGTCATTACCTGCATCTCTCTCTCTGTCTCTCTCTCTCTGTCTCTCTCTCTGTCTGATTGTGTCATACGGATTACTGTTAATTTATTATGCTGATCTGTTCTGTACGACATCTATTGCACGTCTGTCCGTCCTGGAAGAGGGATCCCTCCTCAGTTGCTCTTCCTGAGGTTTCTACCGTTTTTTTTTCCCTGTTAAAGGGTTTTTGGGGAGTTTTTCCTGATCAGCTGTGAGGGTCATAAGGACAGAGGGATGTCGTATGCTGTAAAGCCCTGTGAGGCAAATTGTGATTTGTGATGTTGGGCTTTATAAATAAAATTGATTGATTGATTGATTGATAGATAAACTGTCAGTACTTCCTGTAAACTGTCAGTACTTCCTGTAGTACGCTAACGCCATGTCTCTGTGTGTGTCCAGGCGGATGTTCCCGGTCCTGAAGGTCAGCGTCTCCGGTCTGGACCCCAGCTCCATGTACTCCTTCCTGTTGGACTTTGTGCCGGCTGACGGCTGCCGCTGGAAGTTTGTGAATGGAGAGTGGGTGGCGGCAGGGCGGGCGGAGGGCCGCAGCGAGGGTCGGGGACATGGCGGCATCTACATCCACCCCGACTCGCCAAACTTCGGAGCTCACTGGATGAAGGCGGCCGTGACCTTCAACAAGGTCAAACTCACTAACAAGGTCAACGGAGGAGGACAGGTGAGGACACCTGAACACTGTCCGTCCCTCTTTCTTTTCTTCCTCACTGTGCTCCTCATCCCCCTCTTCCTCTTCCTCTGCCTCTTCCTCCTCTTCATTATCAAGATGTCCATGACAACAGTGCCTTTTCTTCTTCTCTGTTTGTAGTTCTTCATCTTCTTCATCTTCATCATTGTCGTTTTACTTTTTCTTCGTCTTCATCGAATGTTCATCTTTGTTTTCGTGTTCTTCCTCTTCTTCGTCTTTTTCTTCATCATCTTCGTCTTCCTCTTCTTCATCATTGTCATCATCTTTGTCTATGTCTTCCTCTTCCTCTTCTTCATCATTGTCATTGTCTTCTTCTTCTTCTTCTTCTTCTTCTTCTCCTTCATCATCATTGTCTTTGTCACAATGTTCTTTTGCTTTTTCCTTGTCTTCGTCTTTTTCTTCTTCATTTTTGTGTTCATCTTCGTCTTCGTCATCCTTGTCTTCTTCATCTTTGTCTTCATCTTCTTCTTCTTCATCTTCTTCTTCTTTATCTTCTTCTTTATCACCTTTTCCTCTCCATCTTCATCTCTTTCTTCTTCCTGTCTTTGGGCCTGTCCCATTTCTGACCCTTAAATCTTCCTCTTGGTACTGAGTGCCCTCGTTTGTGAGATAACCCTTGATTAGGGAAGAGATCTTTCCCTAAGAAATGGGACACCACCTCATGCAAGTCGCCGTGGCCAACAAGCAGGCCTACGTCATGTGTAGTAGCGACGCAATGAGAATGCTGTCTCCAGCGCTTGTGTTGTGGCGTGTGCTCTTTATTCTTCTCTGTCTGATTAATCAACATCGTCATGTTCTACTTTTTCTTTGTCTTCGTCTTCTCCTTCTTCATTTTCATCTCTTTCTTCTTCCTCTTAATCTTCTTCGTCTTCTTCTTGTTCTTCATCATTGTCTTCATCTCCTTCGTCATCTTCATCATCCCTGATGTTCTTCCTCTTCCTCTCTGTCTGTAGTTCATCATCTTTTTCTTCTTCCTCTCTTTTCCCTCCGACTCTTCTTCTTCTGTGTTGTATGATCCGTCTCTTCATGTCAAGAGCGTCTCTTCCTCCTCCTCTTCTTCCTCTGCCTCCTCTTCCTCCTTCTCTCTCTCTCTCTCTCTCTCTGTATGGAGTGGGCGAGAGACTACCGCCTGTAATTAAGCACTTCAGTCGCTCTCCTCGCTCTACTTCACCTGCTCGCCCCCTCGTAACCACGGGAACCGGATAAACAGCTCTTAATTGGCCGGCGGCAGTTTAATGCACTTCCTGTCGAGAGGCCTTCACACACACACACACACACACACACTAGAAAATTGGCAATAACATTGTTTATATTTACCCCATTATCACACACACACACACACACGATAACACACACACGCACACACTGTGCTGGAACATGACAGCGGCCGCCGCGGCAGCAGCTCGGACATAATGAAATAATTGCTCAGCTTATTTGTACATTATGGTAATTATGTTTTTTACTGGGAAATTAATTTACCCATCATGCTTCAGATGGACGACGGAGTGGGAGAGGTAAACTATATACACACACACACACACACACACACAGAGTGGTGGGGTCAGCCAGCCTCTCAATCTGAATAGAAAACAGTTTGTTTTTGTGTGTCGGCCTGGAGAGCTGGGATTGGTTAATTGGACCTCGTTAGTGAGGGGGAGGAGGAGGAGGAGGAGGAGGAGGAGGAGGGGGGGGGGGGGGGGGGGGGGGGGGGGGG